GCTTTAATAGAATAGTAATTATGTTAGTTATCTTAGCCTTGGACAACATGGCCTCCATTGTCAAAAAAGTGCAGGTCGTTTTTCTTCCTCTTTGCTCTTTTGCCTCCGTCAATTCCAGCCATTTAGGATCCGATTTATCTTTGATATTGTATATTTGGATGATTTTGTTAATTAAATGCTTATATTTATATGTAAAAAAAATCAAGTCCTTAAGTAGAGACATATTTTATGTAATCAGCACTGAAGCAGGTTTCCGATACTACTGTCGTAAAATCTTTAATTTTAGTAGTTGAATATAAATTATACACATTGTTCTCTTATTCTGAATATCACAAAATCATATGAAGTAAAAGCTAAGAGACGTTTATTAGAATATTTTTATTTAAATGAATATAAAGTATTTCTAAAACAAACTGCATACCTAAGATTTTTAACATTAAAAATATTCGAACAATTTAAAGGAACATTGCATTTCCTCTGTGGACGCCGAAAGTATATGAAAGAACTCTTCAGCTCCAATCTCTAAGTTATAGCATCAGATTTCCGTATGTTTCGTGATCATTGGTTTTATAGCGTTAAAGTGACAAATCTTTTAGTTTTAAATACATCTAGATTACCTAATGTTTAAATAATTATAGTTTTATGTTCAACAAATAGATGTCGCCTGTGGAGTCTTGAATCGCGGTATTGTTTTGATTCAAGAATAGTATAAGTTTTTCAAGGTATTTTTATTAAATATCTCAGCTTTAGAAATGGTGTTTTTCTTGTTTATGGTCCTTCGAGCCAGATCATGAACAAGAAAAACACCTATTGTCCAAAAAATTTTTTGACAACTGTCAAACTGTCCCCTAAATGGCATGCCTTCTAAATTTGTTTTATCAACGTTCCTCCTTATAATATATTTGTTTCAAAATGATTAAATGGGTTCAAGGTGTAATAACACCTCACGTTCCGTATGCTTACTTAATTAAAATATAGCGGTATGTCACTCGCAACACCAAAGATTTCAGTCGTAAAATTGCATACACCAAACTATGGTAGGGGAGCCCAAGAGGGGATTTCGGGATTTACTAAAGCGCGGCAGATTACTATATAGGGGGATACCTTGTACCCGGTTAAGTACCTCCACAAAATATGAGGCCCATATATAAGGCCGCGCGTGAAGGAGACAGGATCAGATTAGTAAAAAAAAAATTGACCATCAGAAATTCCCGAGCGCGTCAGATTAAGGTAGGGTGAGTTAATTACATCCTAAAAAGTGTATATTCCACTAATCTGACAATTTGAGAGTGACGGAAAAAAAGGGGAGGGCAACAAAGTTGTAAAAAAAAAAACGTCATCTCGACATTCTCGAGCGTAGCTAATTTTTCTTTTATTTTGAAGGAAATAATTCCAGAATAATGAAAAATATATAATCTGACGATTTCCGCAAGCCGAAATAACAAAAATTCGTCGATAAAGTTAAATGCGTGCAGCTGCGTGATGCCTACATTTCCTTAAACCGATCGGAATCTACTAAACGGCGTTCAAAATATTTCCCTCAAAATTACATTTCCTGTGAATTTGAACCGATTCGGACCGATAGATTTTGAGAAATTTTGAAAAAATCTTAAAAAAATAAGAAATATTTTTTTTTTAAGTGGTTTCTTTATCGATCAACTTCAAAAACTAATCCGCCTTTGAGCTTGAAAAACCACGTCGATCGCCACCAAGCTGGTCAAAAGCGGTTGATTCGTTCGAGAGATATCGTACATGAAAGAAACCCGAAAAAGTGTTTTTTCGGGATTACTCCGAAATTTGTGGTTCGATCAATTAAAATTGCAAAATTACTTATGAGAATGATAAAACTGCGTCGAATGCCGCCAACCGCGTGAAAATTGCTTGATCCATTCAAAAGTTATTGCGGTTTGAAAATTCCAAAAATAGTGTTCTATGAAACTTCTATCAGACTTTCGAGCTGGGAGAGCTCAAATGCATAGAAATGTTATTTCTTTGAACTCAGCGAGCTCAAAATATCAATTTTAAGCGCCCAGGAATGGAATTAGCGGGAAGTTGCAGGGATGGCCCTTTAGGTGAACCGTTTTTCTATATTTTTTTTTGTCAGATCAGGCGAATCCCTCTAGATAATCGTCAGATTATGAGACAGTACGTTTAGAACATAAAGATGAACCACATATATCTTAATCTGACGCGCTTGAGTATTTCAAAATTGCGATTTTTTTTGCAAATTAAGAAAATGGCTGTGGGTTTGCGTCCCATCGAAATCGTCAGATTAGTGAATGAGAGATTTTTTTTGGTGCACTTAACACTCCCTTAGAAAATCTGACGCGCTCGATAATTTTTTTTTTTTTTTTAATTTTCAACCCTTAAATACAACCACCCGCATCATGCAAACGATCAGATTAACATACGTACATTATTAAAAATACGTAGGGCATAGATGCTATCAATATCTGACGCGCTCGAGGATGTCCATGCAACAGTTTTTTTTTTACATATTTAACTATCTATAGCCGCTTCCCCCACCGATGAAAAGGAATTTATCATATAACATTTTTTTCTTCTTTTTATCTAAGCTTTGTATCCCAATAGGTCTCTACGACGCTCGAGTAAATCCCCATTTAGCATCGTGGGCTCCCCCTACCACTACAAGAAAAAATTCTTTAAACTTTTATTATTACAATTAAAATTATTGTACCTAATAATTATATTACAATCATTTTAATTGTTAATTATTAATTAATTTTAAATGTTAGACTTGCCATACATTGATCTTCTTGAAGTACGTTTTTACAGCCCCCTACGCTCCACAAATTGGTCGCTCGCTAACATTGTACCATGGATACATATATATATTATGTATGTATCTTAATATATAAAATTCTCGTGTCACGGTGTTTGTAATTAAACTCCCCGAAATGGCTCGACCGTTTTTCGTGAAATTTTGTGTCCATATCGGTTAAGTCTGCGAATCGGATATCTATTTTTCATCCTCCTAAATGTTAAGGGTGGTCCACCTCTAAATTATTATTTTCTGATTTTTAGACAAATTTTTAGTTTTTATTATTTTATGATGTATCATAAAAAAATAACAACCCTTAACTTTCACCGCTCTACGATCTACCCCTATTTTTTATTATAGTAGATAATTATTTTTATTGAACTAAAAATTTTTTCCTACAAATAATGGCAAAACAACGTTTGCCGGGTTAGCTAGTATATTTATATTAATGCTTTCTTGTATTATATGTACTTCCATCTTTATAGATTTCGTGACTATAATAGTTACGTTACCAAGGCAATGCGATAAATTCATCTTAGACAGCGTACGCGCCTAACAGCATATTTAATGAATACCAAATGTAATATCCGACTTGAATATTAAGTGTTCATTGTTTTAAGCTTATGAAACTATAATATTTTAGGCCCTATTATGTAACATATAAGTATTAATTTAGCTGGGTCATTGTACCACTGAATAAACCTATCTATCTATAAATCATGGTTTTGATGGTTAATTAAAAATTTAAAAGTACCCTCTTTTGCAATTGAAAGTAATTATTGGTTTACGTCTAAAACTGTAACATTGTACATGTAACATTATCGAAAGGAAAAAAACAATAAAAATTATTAAATACATTTAACTAAGGTAATACCTAATTCGGTTTTTTTGTTTTATAGTCTGTATAGTGAGGATGTGTGGGTGTGCTCATGATACTTGTGATGTCGCGCTATGGAAATTCCTAGTCCTAGCTTAAACAACTCTCATATTTCTCAACAAGTTATATGTCCGGGCTGCGCCATACTGAAGTAAAAATTGTGTTTATTTTGTCAAGGAAGGCAAGCTTGGTCCTAAAAAGTTAGATTCGGAAATATCAATATCTATAACATGCATGAAAATTAATAACTTAGAACGAAACTTTGCGTATGGCATGAACTAGATTCTAGAGCCTTATTAAAACTATACTACATAGTACAGTAACTTAAGCATTGGTATCTCATTAAATCAGTATAAACGTGTAACCATATTTAAACTGTATAGTTAAGTTCCATAAATTATGAGGTAAATATATTATAATAATAATTAAGCCTTCTTTATGTTCCTTGAAAGTTGAAACATTAATCCTTCATCTTAAAGACACACTTAAAATTTTATACAGAATTTTTTTTCAAGAATCTCTTACAGAGTGTAGGCCTCCTCAAAATGGCATCACTCTCTATCATTTTCCTCCCAATCTTCGCCACCAACTTCTTTAAACTCGTCAACCCGCCTCAGGCCTGGTGGTTTTCCATTCTTGTTACCCTGTTTGTCCATCTGCCATTGTTCATGCGAGGGGTGTGGCCATTTCTACTAAGTTTTGACAAATATAATTATTTTGTATAATTGAATAAATATATAATAAACAGCAGAAACTATTACAGCTTGTGCAAGCGCGATGACCGAAGAAACTTGCTTTGGTTTCTTTATTGTGTAAAGGTACCATACAAGTAAATATCGGTGTCGTGCTATCATAATACAGTGACCGATGTAGTGCACTGATCCACTTTCACTCCATACATTTTACATTTATACGAAATTGACCGGCGATAATGTACTTTACGAAAGTTTGAGTAACAATTATCACATATTTTTACCAAAACCTTAACAACAGTCAAGTATTAATTATTTCCTTATTTTCTATTCTTACAATAACTTAATACTAATACAATAGAAAACTTTTTAATATAAAAATTAAAACTTAGAACATAATATAAACAAAACAAGAAAACGCAAATCTTAAACCTTATAACTAATTAGCGGTCCGTCCCGGTATTTTTTTTTGGAGATATTTGGAGATATTAATATGTTCTTTAATATTGCGGAACGTTTTTTTTGTTCTATCATCAATAGTTTTCGCAGCGCATGCGATGAAATATATTTTATAGGCATTTTTTTACACCTTCCGCCTTCCTTGCGGGTTCCAATATTAGTTGGCTATACGTTTTTATAGTGATTACAGATGGTAATTTTGTGACGTGAATTTAATAGCTATTTAAGTATTTTAGTGCTTAAACAAGCGTTTATTTATATACCACATATATTGTTTAATACAATATATAAGTTTTAATAATAACTGATGTAAATATAATATAAATAGTGAATCGCAAAATATGTCGCTAAGCTCAAAACCCGAAAAAAATATATATAGTATTTTTTTATTACTTCCACTCTTGGACAAATTGCATGGAAAACCTAAAAACCAGTTCTTCTTCCGGAAAAGCGAACAGTCTCAGAAAATGTTCCATACAGCTACTAAATATTTAGGCGATAAGAAAAAATTCAACAGGTATAAAAGTATATTTTATCTAACTGCTGTTTCTCTCTTTCCAGGGTTCAGACCCCCGCGTTGCAACATGCCGCGGCCGGTTGCAGACCAGACGCTGTCAGCTCAACCAAGAGATAAATAAGGAGCTTAGACTTAGAGCTGGAGCTGAAAATTTGTTTAAGGTAGGCACTGAGACTAACGTTCTTACTCATAAAGGCCCTAAAACCCTTAATTAAATTAGTTCAAGATTATTTATAAGTATAGTGTAGGGTAATTTTTCGACTTATTCTTTCAAATAGTGTTTACGCTGTAAATAAAAAAGACAGACAGACTTGAAAGCATATTACGATTATTTACAAAGTAACAAAGACATATTACACAGCTTCTTGATATAGTACTTTTGATTGAGTTACAAATAAATAATATAATATGACAAAAAAGTATCAATTTTATTTTAAAAAAAATTGCAAATGCAAATAAACACTAATATTTTATTGTTATTTCAATAATTGTGTTTGCAAAAAAAAATATGAAAATGATTATTATTTTATAATTTCTATGTTTTGTAATAATATAACAATGCTGATAACAGTATGCATGTACGTTTTAAAACGAATAAATAATAACGGAATGGTACCAGCATTGGTATTCTGTAACTTCCAATATTGATAACAATCCCGAAGCATATGCATACGATCTTGTTCTCTGAATATTCGCTGCGTTGATGTTGTCACCTGAAGTCAGGTTCGCTATTGGAGTTAACAAACCAACGCAGCATTATCACAAGTAAGATAAAATAACGCCTGAGTAAAAACTTTTTATGAAAGTATTTTTTGGCGCGAAACATCTGAGGACGATAGTAGTCTGTTACCACAGATCTCAACACCCATCTGCGTTTTACGAAATGAAGCTCTATGGCAGTATGAACTGTCAGGAAACTCTCGGAATTGATAGATTTAAAGGCAAGTTTTGTAATACAAAACAAAGAGTTTAATCTGAATAGCAATTTGATGAACAATAAATGGGACGGAACGAATCGATTGCACTTAAAGCGAGTTGCAACAAATCGCGGCAAGAAAAGTAATTACTGTGCATAATAGAGACTGAGTTCCATTCAAATAAACCAGTGGCGCTACAACCTCTTTAGGTCTGGGCCTCAGATTTCTGTATCTGGAGCATTTGTCAATCTAATAGGCAAGTAGATGATCAGTCTCCTGTGCTTGACACACGCCGTCGACTTTTTGGGTCAAAGACACGCCGGTTTCCTCACGATGTTTTCCTTCACCGTTCAAGCAATTGTTAAATGTGCACATAGAAAGAATCCAAGTCCATTGGTGCACAGCCCCCGGCTGTGCACCAATGGACTTTCTTTGGACCGAACCCACGACCTCATTTAGTTCCATTATAATGTTTTAACATTAAATAACCTTTTTTTTCTTTTTATATATTATATATAAATACACACAAAATATATAAAAATACTTTTTCCGCTCTACTCGTTTAACTGTGACGTTACTCTGTAACTTCCAGTAGCGATCCCGAAGTTTTTGTATGCAATTTCGATATATTTCTTTCAGTATCCGTAACATCGAATCTCAATTGCTATCACTGTTGAAATACAGAGAACCGGTGCTTGTTGGCTTTTTTTTTCAAAACACACTAGTTATTAGGTGATTAATTATAATTTTAATAAGTCTATGTAATTATGTTTTCAATGGCCTAAGAGAATAGATAAGACAGAAAAATCTAACATTATTTTAGACCCTTTTTGTTATTGAAAATTTGTCGAGGAAGGTAACCCTCGCCAGTAACACTATACACTACGATACTCAGAGATGAGTTACTGACCCAGAGAGACAGATATTAGACCCAGTGTTGTCTTTGTCTAATAATATTTATTACACACTAAACCTTTGATGTAGTAAAATAGCTATCAAGAAACTCGGTAGTGACCCATACATAAGCTTCTTACACGTAAAGTGAGTCACTCCCAAGAGGTCTTGACAATGTCGTTTCCTGTTATGAACAATGGCGAGCCAACGAACCGTATCGCCCTCTGGTCTCTGACCCCTGGCCTTGACAAAACGTCTTCATACTTGGTAAATAAAACTGCACGCACGCCCCGCTGCGCAATATAAATTTGTTTATGTTTATGCGATATTATGCCTTTATAGGTAACGGAATGTACACTGAACTAAAAGGCCAGTAAATGTTTCGAAAATCAAGGGCGAAGAACGTAGAACAATAAACTTCATTGCTCTATTAAATCGACAAGTTTTTGTTGTACAAATTGTTTGTAATGCATCACAACTAGCGATTAATATTCAACATTCATCAAATCATAAGCTAAAAAAAATTTCCTGTCTGTACTTTAAATAGTTTAATTTCATTCAACTCATTTCAACTGAGATACATAGTTGGAATAACTATATAGTGTAATAACTTCTATTTTGATTAGTTTTTGGTTAAACATCCCTTGTGCATTTTTCTCTTTTCAAAGACTCTTATATAATACTTAAGTAGATATTTTAATGTCATTATAATCTGTTTAAGTAATACACGTTTAAATAAAATCATACACAAATTTATAATATTACTAGTGGACCCCACAGACGTTGTCCTGCATGATATTTAAAGCGATTAGGATATTAAGCAAAGTATGAAAGTACCGACTGCAGTGCCATCTGCCGGGCTGATTTGTGAATCTAAACCATTCCCAGATCCCCTTAAACACACACAAAAAATTTCATCAAAATCGGTCCAGTCGTTTCAGAGAAGTTCAGTGACATACACACTCACAGAAGAATTATATATATATAAAGATTTAAATAATGCGGTCGAATGTTTGTCAGCAATCGAGAGACTATCTCTTTAAATAAATTTTATTTTAATTTCGATCATCACTTGCTACTTGTGCGAACAAGTTAGCCCCGTCTCACCTCCCTCGGTCAAGCACAGAAGATGGCGCAACCGCAGAGCAGGCGGAAAATACTAAACGGCTCAAATATAAGAGTTTAATTTTCTATTTATCAATTTATTATTATTATTATTATTATTATTATTACTATATAGGTGAAGTACCTTAGTAGGTACTTCACTATATAGTAATATATATATATTTGTGTGTTGAACATAAATCAATTCACATCATTTTTCAGTTTCAAACCAATTTCTAATATTCCATATTTCATTTAAGGCGACCACAAATAGAAAACTGCGTGAGACGGTAGCCCTGGAGCTGAGTTTCGTCAATTCAAACCTCCAACTCCTCAAAGAGCAGCTTGCTGAACTGAACTCATCAGTGGAATTGTACCAGAATGACAGGTGAGGTATTTTTTCTACAAGTTTTAGTCTAATGTAGCCATATATAGAATCTATGGCTACAATGTATTAAGTTTTGGTCTCTTTATCTGTTTCTTGGTATTTTTTTTCTTACTAGGCAAGTTGGTGAGCAGCCTTCTTAATTTTATGTCTATGGTATACCTCATTTTTTTTTAATCGACGTACGAGCGAATGTTTGCGCTCATATAGAGAAAAGTCCATTGTTGCTCAGCCGTTATCCGTGATAGCCGTTCGATAACGGACATTATACGCATATATTTTTATCCTAATAAAATAGCTTACGATGTCCAAAAATATGCAACAAATATGGACAGGACAAAAAAAAATGAAGTGTAAGTTGTACAACCTGTTCCTGGATCAACGGGATGCTTTAAATGATAGTGAATATTATTTTCAGTATTTACTATTCACGTATTAAAAAAAATTAATACTAATTAATTAACTAATTGTCTATGCTTATAATACTGAAAAGGGAGTCTGGCTAGTCTCTGGTCGAGTTACAACGAGTTTGTAGTGACTGGTCGTACTTCGTATATGCGGTGATGTTAGTTACTTCGACTGTATTTGCGTGTTGTTCCCACGAGAATGTTAGTTCGTGCTCCTATTTCACCATGCCTCCTGCTGATAGAGGACAAATCTTTGTTTTTAATTTATTGTATTATTATTTATTACTTAAGATGTCATGTGGAACATGGTGTAATGGTTGCAGCTTAATTTATTTATTTTAATTTATTTGTGTGAGTATAAGTGAATAATTTTAAACCACATTAACACTTGTAAATAAATAGCGTTTTCCTCAAGTCGTAAAATTGAATTTATAAAAACAATGTAGATTTAATTGCGTTCGATATTCAAAATTAACTTGTCTGCCAACTTAATGCCATGCGATTTCCTAAAGAAGCCATAAAATTAAATAATACTAGTTCAATCATGTTTAAATTGTGGGATAATGATATAGTGCGCATGCGTATGCCTGTAATTGTACTTTTTTATAATTAATGTGTAATCACACTTATTTTTATTGAAATATAAGTACACAAAGCGGCAAGTTATAATTTGATCAGATCATTGACTTGATCATTTTAATCGCAAAAACTTTTCCAAGATTATTTTGTTATAAAGAATAATAATTTTTGTAAAGATTTTATCAATACTTATTTTTTTAATTGTCATGTATTCCTGGGATCATTTTTGAATTGGTTTTGCGAACTATTTACTCCTATTATAGTTAAATGTTAACTATAATGAATAACATAAAATAAAATAAAAAAATATGTTTATTATGGAACATAAGATACATGTATCACTTATTCCACGTCATTAAATTTGAACTTTTAGGCATCCCTACTCATCGGCAAAGAAGACAGAGGGTGTAGGCCGAGAGAAAAAGCCGGCGTAAAAAACTCTCGGTACTCTTTTAAAACAGCAAATCATCAAACAACACTTATTTAAAACAAATATCGCAAATTAATTAGAAGTAGCCTGTCTAGCACTAATCCCAGGCCCTTTTATCAACTAGATAATCGTTGACTTTATAGTAAGCCTTTTTACACAGCTTTTCTTTAATACATTTCTTAAATTTATAAAAGGCAGAGATAAAAAAGCCTCTGGGATTTTATTAAAGAAGAGTATCCCTTTCCCCAAAAAAGAATTACTAACTTTAGATAGTCTAGTACGGGGAAATTGCAGCCTGCGTTTGTTCCGTGTATTAACATTGTGCGTATGTTCTATTCTAGTAAACTTATCACTATTTTTGTATACATACATAATATTTTCATAAATATATTGCATACAAAAACATATCTTTAGTATCACATGTATAAAATTAAAAAACCCTTCTCTTCAGGTATGTTATGCATCTCCACAAAAGGAAATCACAAAAAGTGTTATGCCTAGGCCGTAATGAGCGTAGTTAGAAACGTCTAAATTGCGTTCAACCTCTGGTAATACCACATTTTCTTTGTGTGAACTTAAACGAGATTTAATTCGATAAAAGCTTTTTATAATTCCCGTGTGACTTGTTAATGTCATGTAAGAATTTTTTTAAGCATATAATATAATCTTAATATTGGCTATATATTATCTTTATTTACATTTTAATGTCTGGTAAAATAGATTTTATATAAATGAAGACTAAAAATTCCATATCAATCAATTCGTAGTTCGTGGAAATATTTTTTTAAACAGTTTATTGATTCACAGCGTAAAAAAAGATATTTACATTTTTTAAATTAAAAACAATCTCAACGGATTACACTATACTTACTAATTGCTTGCTTGCTTGCTTTATGGTCAAATGGGTAGTGCCATTAGTTTATTTGCTATGGGTCTTGAAACGGACACGATTCCCGGACGAAAAACTGTTTGAATAAATATTTGATTGTAGTTTTATATTAAACCTTTTTAGGTATTATTTTAATAGTCTCTTTAAAAATTATTTTATTTAATATGCGTTTGTATTGTGGCACACATAAAGGTCTCCAGCCAACACAATGTGTATGTTTCTATTAATTCACATTCATTTTTCTAGACAGATAAAAAAATGAAAATTCGCCAAAATTTTTAATTTAATTAGATCAAATATATTTAATATTCGAATTCAAGGCCTCACATAGTTTACAATAGAGTGCTAGCAGCCCTGAGATATGTTTAAATGTGCGTTGTAACTTCCTCATATATTTATATTGTGAAATCACCCATTATCAAAGACGTAGGGCGAGATTTGTAGCGGCATCTATGAATAAATAATGGCAACTACATGTCTTCGATTGCGTTTGTCAATGTCGCAGTAAAATAGTTAAATCAGAGAGTTAATTGAATCTCTAGACATTTAATTAAATATCGATATTAATTAACTCTCTGATTTAACAACTTTACTGCGACATCAACATGGCGTTATCCATGACGCGAAAGTATTGTTTTGTCTCTGTTCGCATTTGTGACTCTATCCTACTTTAACTTTTCAGCAAGGAGTGTGTAATGCCGATGATTCCCCTTGGTCTAAAGGAAACCAAGGAAGTTGACTTCCGGGAGCCGTTCAAGGACTTCATCCTGGAACATTATAGCGAGGATGCCGCCTTGTACGAGGATCCCATATCGGACTTCATGGATATGAGACAGGTAAAGACCGACTGTAACTCGTAATTTCTCAATTTTATTAAAACTACATTCCTACATTTCTTCTACAACCAATGATTAATAGCGAATAGATAACAGAGTGGCATACCTACTGAATAATATCCAGACCAAATTATCTATGAAATACTGGAAACATAAACCACAGACGCCATTGAAAATTCATTCGATTGCAATGTTTTATGCCTTTTAAAAGCTACTCATATTATAGAATGTCATTAATTCACTCCTGTCACGTGACTTAGTCTTTGCCATAAATGGTATTGGGGCACTCGACGGTGAGAAAGACTATGACAACAGCTTACATCTATTCGTATAATTTTCAGGCCATCCGAACTCCAGTACGATCAACAGCTGGCGTGGCTCTCCTCTTTAAATATTATAACCAACTATACTATATCGAGAGGAGATTCTTTCCACCCGATAGATCCCTTGGGGTCTATTTCGAATGGTTCGACTCATTGACAGGTACTTAATTATAATACAAATTTTAATAAGCTAATATATACTGCCGAACCGATTTCAATATAATCCTATAATCATCACGAATTTACGAATTCCACGATTTCTTCGCATCGTTAGGTAGCGAATAATTATAACTTAAATTATATTCAAATAATAATAATAATTATAAATTTGTTGTTGATTATTTGTATTCTGTATTTCAGGAGTTCCTTCGTGTCAGAGGACTGTGGCGTTCGAAAAGGCCTGCGTTTTGTTTAACATTGCTGGCATATACACACAGATTGGAGCTAGACAGGTATTACAAAAAAAACTTTTCCGATATGCCCATAAAAAAAATTTTTTTATAAAGGCCAAAAATTCAATACAAATACATGTCTTATCCATTTGTAGTTCGTGAATATATAGTTCATTTATTGAAGAGTTTATTAATAATACACAGCTTTAAAAAAAGTTAGTATTTGTCGCAGATTTAAAGCGATTAATATTATCCAGATATCACTATCGTCGTCCGACATTTCGATTTTATTTTCGATCAGAGTGCAACTGAACTCGGCGATCAATGCGTTGGGCACTACTCACAAATTTTCTTTGACACTTAGTAACGTTAGTTACTAGCCAAAACGGATTACACTGTAATAATAATTGCTTGTTGAGGTGTGTGTGGGACTGTATTAGTGTGTGTATGCGTTAATCTTAAAAATCCATTCGACTTGCTTAATTCCTTCGAAAATATGAAATAAGTCTACGCTCGCGTACTCATTCTATAGAGTTACAATACGTGTTAAAGCATTTTATTTAGAGTAAGTATACATAGTTTACAAACTATACATACATACATGCTAGACCAAAATAGGGAACAATATGATTTATTTTGATTATATTTTACGTTTTATTAACGTCAATTATAACAATTTATGATTAATTTTAATAGGAACGCAACACATGCGCGGGTTTAGATGGCGCAGTGGACGCGTTACTCCGCGCGGCGGGTACGCTTCGATACATCCACGAGAACTTCACAAATGCGCCATCTGTTGACCTAGCTGCGCACACATTGCTAGTACTGGGAACGCTTATGACTGTGAGTATTTAGCCTGAAAGATATTCAGCCGTAGCGTGTGTTACAACATTTAATTAACTGGCTGGCTAATGCTTAGGCCATTCGTTCTATACAGTGACAGACATATAAAAAAGATGAAACAAATGACATAAAAAAAATATTTAAAAATAAAATTGCTGGAGTCAGTCACAGCTAAATTCACGTTATTATTGTCACTACACTCTTCCATTATACTTGTTGGTTCATTAAACTTTGGTGAACACCATTAAAGTTGTGGTTTGCTCACGCCATATATTGGCAGTTTGAAAAGTTTCGACGCTAGCCTAGACTACGGCTAAGTAAGCTAAGTAAGTTGGCTGCGACATCCACATTTTTAATATATTTTTTTTTAAATAAAGAAATGACTTCATTTTATTGCGTATATGTACACATACTTTTTAGTCCAATTAAATTTATTTTTACATAGATTATATAAAAATATTTTCAGGCCCAAGCCCGCGAATGCCTCTTCGAGAAGCTTCAGCTACAGGCGCGTGAAGCGTGTCGTGGTCGAGATCGGGAATTGCGCGACGATACTGACATGTGCCTTGATCTTGCGCAAGAGAGTGCGCAACTCGCGCACACATATAATCAGTTGTATGAAAAGGTATTTAATTTGTTTGCATGTACTCGTATATATATTTAGGTATAAAAAATACGCCATTTGTTTTTCAATAGCCATTTGAAATTTGAAAGATAGTCTTTGACGTTCCCGTGCTTCAAATGAGTAGGTACGTAAAGCGGTCGTTCGCTATTTCGTACTTAATGTTCCTGGGTCATCGGAGTGCTTTAAATAATAGAGGATATTATCTTAACCAGAGTTCCCCAAACTTTTTTGTGTCGTAGACCCCTTGCCATGTTTTTCCGTGTTGGAAACACTTACCTGATATTGATTTCCTGTAAATTTCTAACTGTAGTGAAGTTTAGTGTTAATAACTTAAAGTAAAAACACATGTTAATCTATACATTTATTAATTGAATTTAAATTAAAACTACTCTAAATATTTTTTTTATTTGATATGTAGGTACTTTTAAAAATAATGTATATGTTTTGATATTATAAAATAGTATGATGTAAGTAAATAGGTACTATCAGTGTATGTGTTGAGACCCACTACCGTGGACCCCCATTTTCATTTCATGGACCCCCAAATTTTTTTTCGCTGGCGTAGACCACTTGCAGGTTGTCATAGACCCCTAGGGGTCGATATAGACCACTTTGGGAATCACTGATCTAAACTATATAATAACCACTCGCGAATAACAACAGAATAAATGCGTAATAATTAAATGTTAATTGCCAGGAATCTAATGCTAAATGAATGTAATGTAAATATTGAAGTAACTGCCTGGGTCTGCCTAATACTCCCAGTCGTAACCTCGATGATTGATTTACTAAGAAAGCCTGATTTAGCAAAATATACAGCCTTGGCTCGTACACTTAATATGAAAAAAAGTAAAAAAACGTGTGACACTCGGGGACTGCCGCGGTAAAGCTATTGCATAGAATTTTTGTTTACATTTGCAATTAGTATTTTTTTTTCTTTGATATTAATTCAATGTACCACTCTACCAGACTCAGACTAACATGCCTATATAGTACGTCTCACTCTAACGCGTACCGGCTGCACCGGCCGCCGATACGTCACCGATCTCGTCAGAGAGATGTGAATACGCAGTATGCGTTCTGTCCCATTCTAACGCAGCTGCGCTACGTCACCGACACGCCAGACCGATGTGAGACGCAGTATGCGTTCTGTCCCGCTCTAACGCGTATTGGCCGCACCTATATTACGTCATCATATGTTAGGTTTATTTTCGTTACGGAATTTCTATTCGGTCGCCGCGCTTAAAGCCCGCGATAAAATCAATGCAATAGCTTAAAATTAAAGCATATAGCCTATAATATATATATCTTTTCGCACACTATATAAAAAAATATTTTGCAGATGCAAACTGAAGGTGTGTTCAACTACGTGCCATACTCGTGGGTGTCCCTCGTTCACGTGAAGACTGAGTTCTACCGCGCTTTGGCACATCAGTACGCCGCTACCGGACTCCTACATACCACCAGCGTAATACATGCGAGGGAACGACTAGCCGCCATGTATGGTCCGCCTGATTGTAATCATAATGGTAAGGAAATTGGAGTTTTAAGGACTATCTGTGGGGTTGGTTTGCGTAAATATTAGCGTGATGTGACATTCCTTAAAAATTTAAAATAATCTTTAACCTAACTATCGATACAAAATGTACTTGCTTTCGCATATATTCATATTTAAATATCAATTTATTTTGACAATTTTCTGATGCAAAAGTCCCTTTCAGGAGTTACTAGTCTGCTTTGATAGCGAGGAAGTTGCATGGATCTGGTTAGAGGAGCGCCTGATTTCGATTTGAAGTTCTCATGTTATTTTCACATGTGTATATCTTATTTCTTACATTTTTTGTTTGAATGTTCTCTCTTTAACCGTAATATTAAGAGTATAAATAAATAAATTAAAGCAATATATACATAATAAATTCATAAAAACACCGTGATACAAGAATATATAAGACAGATATAGGTCGGTTATCGAAAGCTGGCGTGTTCACAGTACTCACACTAATGCAATTTCACTATACAGTATGTTTAAAAATTAAAATTAAAATATACTGTATGTACTGTACTGTACATAATTTGTACATACATTTTTTTCAAAGTATTCTAACCTCCAACCAAATAAGTAAACAATCACAGACAAAATAATAATGAGAAAAAAGATCAACATGTACATTGTACAGTAAAGATCAACATAAACAGTAGCAAAAGCAAAACCATAACTGTCTCTTTTATACCTACTCATAAGCTTCACCGAGCCCGAGAGATACGGACAGTCTTTTCGTGATGCATATTCAGTGTGACAAGACGCCTCGCGCTTATTCACAGACACTTCACAAGCACAAAGTGTAAATGTGTTGAAGCCGCCAGCTTTAGATAACATACCAATACTGAATTAATTAGACGTCTCAAATACATTATCAAATTTTATTTAGGTTATAGTTCAATACAAATTATTAATTTTATTATAATCGATTCTTTATAATGAAACAAAACTGTAATTGGTATTTAAAAAAAAATATGTCTTTGTATCATAATATCACCCGTATTAAATCATAAACAGCCTAATAATTGTACCGTTACTCACCTGTCTCTTTTCATGACAGCGTTAACACAATTTGACAGAAAGAGACGAAAGAGTACTTTAATTACAAGAGAGCAATTCGACTATGATAATGAAGATGATTATATTAGTCGTTCGTTCAAGAACGCACCCTAGAAAGAACCTCTGAGACCCATTAGTAATGTAATGGTTACAGGTTCGATTTCCCCTACTTTCAAGTACGACGAGGACTTGGACCATATGGCCTTAGGCCGTGCGCACTTGGCTGAAGCTCTAGCTTTATACGAGGAGGCTTTGAGGCTGCAGAGGATGTGTCGGTATGTATCATGTTCTATGAGGAATAAAAACAAAAATTATTCCATTTTTGAAATAGTTTTTTTTTAGTTATCTATGTGTTTGTTAGTTATCCACAGCATTCCATAGATAATATATATAACAATAATAATCAGTGGAGCTACAACTTTTTTACGTCTGGGCCTCTGTATCTGTTTCATGTGTTTCTGTGCCTGACGACTCGTTGTTCGAATTTTAAACGCACACATAGAAAGGAAGTCCATTGGTGTCTCCCGGGGATCGAACCTACGACCTCAGGGATTAGGGTCGCACGCAGAAACCACTAGCCAACACTGCCCTAAAAGCATGTTAACCTATATTTAGATTAGTTATATAACTGTTGTAATATTAATTTCAGTGAGTTACGTGGTAAAGAGGCATTGTCTCTGGTAGTTGGGGCCCATCGTGAGCGAGCGTCGCGGGACAAAGCTCAATTGGCCGACGAACCAGACTTCGCAGACCTTCTTGATGTACCCAATATACTACGTGAGTTAATAACTGGAATAAAAAACATTTGTTTAAAAAATAATGCACGTAAATTTATATAGACGTTTTTGTATTCTGTGTAGTTATGGTCTACTAAGCCAATAGACTATTTAAACTAAAACTTTTTATCATAGTGTAAATACCATTTAGAAAAATGTGATGATTGTGTACTTAATTGATATAGTTTTTATAAATCGGGGTGCTTTAAATAATAGAGGATTTTATTTTTACTCTATATTAACCACTCGCGTACAACAATAGAATATAAGCGAAATAATGAAACGTTAATTGCTATGTAAATGAATGCAATGTGCCTGTTGAGAGATTGCCTACGTCTGGCTATACTCTCGGGGCGTAACTTATCGCTTATAAAACTAAGAAAGCCTGAGTGAGCAAATTGTACAGCCTTGGCTCATACAATTATAAACAATTTGTTTCACAGGAATATAGTAGGACAATGTAAATTATAAGTGAAAATAGAAAAGTTTAACTGTCCTTTAATAATAATAATAAATCGTTTATTTGCAAATAAATTGGTACATTCAGATTGATTATTTATAAAAAAACCGCTCATTTAGCCATATAAAATTAGGCATACAAATGTCATATTACTTATCATAATGTCATTTGGAAAGGAAGATGCGCTCAGTTGCAAACCAAATAGGAAAATAAGATCTCTTCTAACATGACATTTAGAAATTAGGCATGTGCAAGTGCATTCATTTTATGTGTTTCATTCCTAACTCTATGGACATAGGACGGTCTACTATAAAGCCGGCCAATCAGGGACAGCCTTCGCACAGTTAACAATTTGATAATTTTAAGATTGTAATTTGACGGTTTCACTTCGATAGATTACAATCTACCGAATAACAATACGTTAAATTGTAGGCAGTGCGTTGAGGTTCACAATCTTTCGAAAGTTCACAATCTCGCGAGATAGATTACAACCTAACGGTATTTACAAATTTACGGTGTCATATACAATGGTTTATATATATTTAAATAAAATAGTCACTTTGCACCGTTTTTACTAAAGTAATTAGTAACTCTGTCTCTTCTCATCATAGCGAAAACGCAATTTGATAAAAGGAGACGATAGTAATGTAGCTAAAAGTCTGCAATTAAATTTATTTATTTTTGATTTACGCAAAGAATAATGAAATGGCAAAATCTCTTTGAGCATCAAAAATCGAAAAATACTTTTTTCCAGCTTCATCGAAATTCCAATTGGCCCTGACGCCCCCGGACTTCGCCCAACACAGAGTAGAGGACCTATTTAAGACCCTCGGGCCAATAGCTGTCTTCTCGGCGAAGAGGCATTGGAGTGCACCAAGACTCGTTCAGTTGCAGAGAGATGGAGAAAGACGGAGGGAAAGAAGGAGTGATAGACCAAAGGTAACGAATGAAGCCTTACTGATTGTAGAACCCGTTGACCCTCCCCTACGGATACTTGGTTGCACTAAATTACGACAACGGTACTTTTAAAAAGGTTTTGGTTTCTAAAAGGTCATAAAACGATATCAGATAGTTTTAGGGTAATACAGTGAAATAGACCAAACAAGCTTGGCTCCGACGTCCATCTATCAGATTATTCTCATCCACTTATATTTTAGGTATAATATTGCTGAAAATTCCTTCTTTTTAGCGAAAACCAAGCGATAAACGTGACCGTTCAGAAGATAACAGCACGTACTACGAAAAATACGACTACGAAGTGACGAAACAAAATGGCGTCTACATCAACTATGAGAGCCCCAAGGAGTATAAGAGGGACTTAAGAAGAGCCGCCAGTGAATACGATATGAATGAGGAAGAAGGATTCGGGTTTACTGTTAGAGGGGGGGCGCCAGTTGTCATAGCGGCTGTTGAACCTAACTCATTGGCTGATGTAAGTTAATTCTCTCTCTCTCTCTCTTATAAATATATATTACAGCCTGGCTTCTTTTTTCATTGGTCATCAAGCTATAAAATGAAATAAATAAAGTGGCGCTACAAGCTTTTTAGGGATGGGACTCTGATTTCTGTATTTGTTTCATGATCATTTTTCACTCTAATAGGCAAGTAGGTGATCATCCTCCTGTGCCTGACACACACCGTCGACTTTTTGGGTCTAAGGCAAGCCGGTTTCCTTACGAGGTTTTCCGTCACCGTTCGAGTTAATGTTAAATGCGCACATAGAAAGAAAGTCCATTGGTGCATAGCCGGGGATCGAACCTACGTCCTTAGGAATGAGAGTCGCACGCTGACACTGTTCGATCGACCTATCAGTATGTCATAACTCATAATACATATTTTCTAACTAACCAAGAAAAATATGACATAAAATAATTATTTCCGTCCAACGTGGAGTTATAACTGAAATATAGTGTTTAAATAGGAAGTTTAAACTTTTTTTTTTGATTTTATTACAATCTTTTTCAACTACTTTACAACTCAATTTAAAAAACCAAAACTTCAGTAGGTTTTAATCAAACGGTTTTTCAATTACACAAGCATTAAATATTTTGTTAATCCAAAATATGTACGAGGGATAAATCGTCAGATTTCGGAAATGAAATGTAAAAGACAATTTTTTATTATCAAACATTCTTGCGAACGTCCACGCGATCTTTTGCCTTCTTATCGGTGTTGCCAAACACTATATGCTTTAAGGTAATAGTAATAGAAGCCATAATTTAAAAAAAACGTGTGGCACTCGGGGACTGCCGTGGTAAAGCTATTGCATAGCATTTTTGATCAACTTGCAATTATAATTATTTATTTATGCAGTATTTTTTATTCTTCGATATTAATTTAATTTTTTTTTACATTAATTCAGTCTACCACTCTACCAGACTCAGACTAACACTCCTATATATACGTCACCGATCTCGTTAGAGAGATGTGAATACACAGTATGCGTTCTGTCCCACTCTAACGCGTATTGTACCGCACCTATATTACATCATCGTGTGTCAGGTTTATTTTCGTTACGGAATTTCTTGTTTCGGTAGCGGCGCTCAAAGCCCGCGATAAAATCTAGGCAATAGCTTAAAAACTATTTATTTTTGATATTCTATAGTTGAATTGTTTTTACAGATGGCCGGTATGAGAGAGGGTGACTTTATAATATCTATCGGCGATACTGACGTGAAATGGTCAAGTCACGAGGCCGTGGTAGCATTAATACAACGCGCAGGACGGACGCTAACACTACGACTTGCTACGCCCATGGATAGTGGATCTAATAAGGTACAGATTACATATGCACTTATACCAAGAATAACTTATATATTTATTTCAGATAAATATAAAAAATAGAACAGCAATTATAGCGGTTTATCCAAAAAAAATTTAAAATATTTAATAAATTAATATAAAATTTAATTAATGAATTGGTACTGTTTTTGAGTTACTCAAGGGCGCTAATTTTATACTTAAATTTGCAGTCATCTCCTGAAACAAGTCGCCAATCTTCAACCCCTGGGTCAGTATCAGCGGCTTCCACGTCAAGTGGATCCACTGGTGCCACAGCAAGATCATCCGCCCGAAGGATGCCCTCCTGGAATCCATTCCGCAGACATTCAGCGCGAGATCACGCACCAGCTCAAACCAACGTCATATTCAGATAGGTTGCTTATTATACCAAAACGTGTGTAATGTCAAACTTCAATGTCAAAATGGTCATAACGAATAGAGACATGAAAGAGACAGCAATGGTAGACTTTTAGTTCATCCCTTTTTATGTAATACTATTATCGCTCTGTCTCTTTCTGTCTTGTTTTTGAAAGCATTGTTATGTCCATTATCTATAACGTTTTTAGATTCCAACTTGGTTCACTTAAGAAATATAACAGATACTACTACTAAGTAGTTTATTTAGTACTTTTACTAAAAATAATATCCTAAAAGACGCAGAAATTTATTTTTTTACAAAAATTTAAAATGTGTGAAAGTTGTTTGTAACCCTTCCAAATATAACATAGGTTAGTTGCAGAAATATATTCCGTCCATAATTATTTTGTTAACCCTGTCGGAGTAAACTTGTACTTAATTTTTAAAATGGCTATGATATTCCAAAGTATTTCCGAATTTAATATATATTTTAAAACTATTTATTGTTTTTTACGTTTTTAAGCCACTCTCCCGCCTTTTTTCATTTTCAACTGTCACTTCTTTGTCATTTAAGACGTGCACAGTTGCCGAAAAAACGATGTTTTATAAGGCAGACAATTTTAATGGACTATATATAACCTCTTTGTTAAAGCTTTTACTATTTTGTCTATTTTTTTTTTTTTTAATATTATGGCAACAGCTTCAACTTTATGCCAGTTTCAAGTAAAAGGTTGGGAAACTACACGCGAAAAAAAATAAACAAAGACATCAAAAGGAAATAAAGGGATAAGCTGGTTAAAAATAAAATATGTACATAAACATATTACATCTTAATATTATTATAGATTATGAAAGAAGATAATACATTATAATACAATAAAGGATAAAGCAAAAGGCAGGAGATTTTAGTCGGAAACGGAACATGAAGTGATTGTAAAGAATTCAGAAAGGAGGTACGGTCATATTGGGAACAAGAAAAGAAAATATGGTCAAGGTCACCAATATCTTCTCCACACTCACAAATATTACTATCAATAATACGAAGCCTTGCTAAATGATGAGGTGTACAAACATGTCCTAAACGCATTCTGGAAATGATAGAAGTGACAGTTTTAGAACTTTTAACCTCAAAGAACCATGGTCTACTGGGGATCCTGGGTTGAATTTCAGCATAATGTTTGCCTTTGAACTTGCTGCTTCTCAACCAAACATCATTCCATGACTCCCAAAGATGGGTTTTCGGAAGAGCAGCTAAATCATGACAATAATTAATGTATGGGACTATGTCTCCATCCTTTATAGCTTCTTTAGCAAGCTCATCGGCTTTCTCGTTTCCTTTAATTCCACTGTGACTTGGAATCCATGCAAAGATAACGGTGTAATTTCTTTGAGAACATATTAAAAGCTTATCACGTATTTCGCAAATAATAGGATAACAAAGTTTCATTTGGAAAGGAAATTTTTCAAGAGATTGTAGTGCACTTTTTGAGTCTGAAAATATGATTGTACTTTTAGATTTTAATAAAATAACTAGTTCTAAAGCTTTTAAAAGAGCAAAACACTCTCCAGTAAAAACCGAGGATTCAGGAGGAAGTTTAATCTTTTGAATTATTTTATGTTGCCAATGAATTAGACCAACTCCAACACAATCATCAACAGAGATTTTAGAGGCATCTGTAAAAATATAATCCCAACCTTCCCAATTTTGTTCCTCAACGCTACTCATGAAACGAATATTTGTTTCCAGAATATCTTGCTTATGGACGCCTATATTATATCTTATATCCGGATCAAGAATTAAAGAATTGAATTGTGTCATAAATATGGGTAATGATGGAGATCGATGAATGCGGCTGTGTAATGTTAAAAATTTACGAAAGCTTATTATTAGACATGGTAATGATTTGTGACGCCAGTAACGGGATGTATAAATAATATTGTTCAATTCATGCAGCCTTCCATGTAGAGGGTGGTTAGAAAACTGCATAGATTTGAACAAGAATCGATCACTTAAAAATTGCCTTCTTAATTTTAAAGGAGGATCGCAGCATTCTACTTGTAAAGCATTGGATGGGCTTGATTTCATTACTCCTGTCACAATTCTCAAAGCTTTTGACTGAATGACATCAAGTTTTTGACTTCCCAAGACACTTCCTCCATCTAAGAGAAATGTGCCATAATCTAAAACAGATCTTATAAGAGCGTTATACACAAGTTTCATAGAAAACGGATGAGCACCCCACCATACACCTGAAAGGCATTTCATGATGTTAAGCAGCTGTGCACATTTCATAACAACATGTTCATAATGGGCAAGTCCGGACAATTTTGAATCCAATATAACTCCTAAAAATTTAATTTTTGTTTGGAGTGGCAAAGATTGACCATTGAAGGTCACATTTATTATAGGAGTTGTGCGTTTTTTGGAAAATACGACTATAGAACTTTTGGAAACTGATAGATCTAGGTCATTTTTAACTAACCAGATATTAAGACAATTAAGTGAACTAGACATGGAATTGCAAGCCTTAACCACAGATTTATCAACGGAATAAAAAAGAAGATCATCTGCATATTGTAGCACATTTATATGGGAATTTATAGATAGTTCTAAATCATACGTGTAAATATTATATAAAAGTGGGCTTAGTACCGAACCTTGGGGAAGGCCTTTAAAAACTGTACGCTTTAACTCGGTAATATTACCATCTTTCTGAACGATTAATGATATGTATCTGCATGATAGTAAATTGATGATAAAACGTATTAATAACGTAGGAACCTGTAGCTCTAATAATTTGCGTTGTAGAATAGAAATGTTCACATTATCATAGGCGGCAGAGATGTCCAAAAAGGCAGCAACAATATCTTCATCACGCGAAAAAGCTATGCGAATATCTGTGGTCAATATAGCTAAATTGTCTATTGTAGATTTTGACTTCCGAAAACCGTATTGACTATTGGCTATTAAATTATTGTTTTCTATAAACCATTCCAAACGATTCTTCACAAGATGTTCAGCAATTTTAGTTAAAACGGAGGACAACGCAATAGGCCTATATGAGGCAACATCATTGGTAGGTTTGTTAGGTTTTTTAATCGCTATAACTTCTTGAGACTTCCATGTTTCAGGAATATTACCTGTGACCATGACGGAGTTTATTAAATTTAAAAAATACATTAAGGCAGTATCACCAAGATGAGATAAAAATGAGTACATAATACCATCCTGACCAGGAGATGAATCTTTAACATGTGAAAGCACACCTTTCAATTCATGTAATGAAAAAGGAGAGTTTAAAGAGGAAGTGTCATCTATCAAAGACGATTCCAAAGGAAAGTAGATCGATTCAGCAGCTGATGGAGGAGCTAAACTGTCTAAAAAGGCATTTGTTAAAAAAGGGGGAAGTGAAGACGATGATAAAGATTCTTTGAAAGCAGATCGAAAACGTTTAATACTTGTCCAAACTTCTGAAGGGCACGTTGAAGGAGATAAAGAAGTACAAAAGTTTTTCCAGCCTGCCTGCTTTTTATCTCTGAGGAATTTACGTGTGGTACTAATAACTTCATTGAGAATATCTAAATTTTCATTGGACATGTCCTCAGCATAGACTCTCTCAGCTTCCTTTCTTCTGCTTACAACAACCATACATTCTCTATCCCACCATGGAGGAAAAGGAATCTTATTAGACGGATTTCGTTTGACAGAAAAAATCTGATCGGCAGATTCTATTAAACATGTAGCCAAAGCTTTAGAGGAATTGGTTTCACCACCGCTAACTAATTCAGGCAAATCATTTATTTTAGATTCGACAAGGATTTTAAATGCAAGCCAATCAGCATTATTTAATTTATATTTCACACGAGGTTGTCGTTTTTGATAAGGAGAGCGTCTAATAGGTGAGGATATGATAATCGGGAAATGATCACTGCCAAAAGTAGATGATGAAGTGTACCAAGAACGAGAAGAAGCAAGATCTGGAGTACAAATTGATAAGTCAACCGCGCTAAGCTTTTCATTAGGCTTTGTACGTCTGGTTGGTGAGCCAGTATTAAGTAAACACAAATTATGTAAATCTAATATTTCAACTAAACGTACACCATTGGAGTCAGTAGTGCCACAACCAAACATTTGGTGATGAGAGTTAAAGTCACCCAATAGAAGGAATGGACGACTAAGTGAAGAAAGTAAATTATTAACGCTATTGAGAATAACAAAAGAGGAACGAGCTAGGTAAATGGAAACTATAGAAATATTATCAATTTTTATGCCGACAATATTAATGGCATCATTAGAGATTAATGAAGAAAACGCTATTTCAGAAAAATTAATTGAGTTCCTGACAAGTAACGCTACGCCACCATGGCCATCAAATCTATCATCACGCAAGCAGGTATATCCTGGGATCCTTAATAGGTACCCTGGCTTCAACCACGTTTCAGATAACGCGACAACAACGGGAGAATGTTTATTTATCAAATATATCAAATCATGTTTCTTTGGAACAACACTCCTGCAATTCCATTGAATTATCTTGGAATCCATTATTTTTAATAACATTAACTGATTTAATTTTTTCATTAATAGAGGCAACGTGGGACGGTTTCAATAAGTTTGAGTTTATTAAACTAGTTAATAATGCTAGTATCATTTCTAATACATCAGATTTTTCTTCTTCTTTATTTTTGTGTCCAACCAGAGCACTGCCATTTTTAGGCTCTGGAACTTGGAAATCTTTTAAAACATTATAATGAGCAACACGATCATAACCATGTTGTGGTTTACGAGGAGAGCGAGGTTTTAAGAATATTGTCTTTTTTATTTGAGGCATTAGTAGAATTATTACGAGATACAGACTTCGCTGCGGAAGAATATACGGGTTTTGGTACTTCCGGAATTGTTGAACTTAATGCATCTGCGTATGAAGGCTTAATAGAAGAAAAATATTTACTGGCTTCGGCATAAGACATGCAGCTCTGAGCCATTTTAACTTTGATTTCTGTCTGTCTCACAAATTCTGGACATGACTTATCTATCGCTGAATGGGACCCTTCGACTTCACACATTACACAGTACAGAGGATCTTTATCTGACCTGTCACATGATACACCTGCATGTTGACCTCCACAGTTATAACATATTGGAGTCTTAGAACGACATTGAACTTTGGTATGACCATAACGGCAGCATTTATAGCATTGTATGGTAGGATAAATATATATTTCTACTGGAAGAGCATTATAGCACATGAAAATCCTTTTTTGGTAAAACTTGCCCATCAAATGTTATTACAACTGATTCAGAGGGTTTCCAAGAAACCGAGTCATTAATTTTTACCTTGCGATTCAAACGTCTTATTTTAAGTATTTTGCCGCAGCCTATAGGTACGGATACATTTTGTTGAACTTCCTCTACACTCCAATCTACAGGGACCCCGCGAACTAGACCCATTCTTGTTACGCTGAAAGTGGGAATGAAGGCTTTTAACTTTTTCGTTTCCAAAAGATTGCAGTTAAGAAAATTATTGGCGTCTTTATAATCGGAAAAGCCAACTACGCACCTGTTTCTTCCTATACGCTTTACACTTCCGGGAATAATATTATTAAATTTGTTCTGCTTTAAAAAATTGCCAAATGTTATTGGATGGAGAATGGTCCCGTCGTCAGGTGAACTTTGAATACGTTGAACATGTATAAAATAAGGGGAAACATCGGTAGAAACATATTCAGTACGGCCAATCGAACGGGGGTCCGTATTGGTTACTGAAGTTGTGGTGTTGTTTAAATTTCCCGCGTTAGAGACTTGAGAGATATTTGAATTTTCCGTGTTAGATGTTGATGGTCGAGAGGATGTGCTATGTGAATTATTATTATTTTGCAAGTGTGGAGATGACGTGGATTGAGAAATAGGTTTTGAAGTAACCTTTTTAATTAACATTGACTCATCTTCTACATTGCATAAGCTTTCGCACTGACAGTAATCACCGCTAGAACCACTACCTTTCTTTTTCTTAATTTTCGTACATTGCCGACAAAGGCGCAAATAACGTGTTCGTTTACGACTTCCTTCACCTGTTTGAGATGATACCGAACAATCAGTATCCATTTTGTCAAATTCATCTTGTGAACCAACAGATACATTTGATCCCACAGGGAGATTCAAGCCAACAAGGCCATCATCCCCCCCGACCTATATCGGGGGGGCTTGTTCATACAATATTTACAGAAATTACAAAAACTTACCGACTACACGATGACACTATACACAAATATGATATAAAGATTACATATAATACAAAAATTAAAACTACCAGCTTATCCTCTGCGTTTTAACTAGTAAAATTAAATTAAATATTCAACACCGTGAAAAATACGTCTACCATGAACGAAGTTTCCCGCGCTTTTTTGTTAAAGCTTTTACTATTTTGTCTATTTAAAAACTTTATTTTATGTTCCGTTTTTAACAATTTACATATAGTGAAGCTGAGCATTCTCATAGATACATTATTCCTTTAACATAATTTAATATCGAGTTTTTCATCTCTTTCTAACAAATTGCGTTTACGCTGTGTTAAAAAGGGACAGTTGAACTCTTATCAATGTATTAAAACTGAATTATTTTTGACAAGGAGAGCTCGTACTAATATGAAAATGCTCAGTCTATAGTTTATAGTCTATTACTGAAACGCCATCTATGGTTTAATTTTTTTTTCTTAACCTAGTCCAGAGGATAAAAAAGTATTATTATTTGCACACTTATCTTTCTAATTGATTTTTAATAAGTTTTGGATGTGATCGATATTAAAGTTTTATTTTTGTAAAACATTGATCGCACCCAGAAGTCCCCTAAACCTAATTAGATATAACAATTGAATGTATATTATGTAAAGTTAATGAGATGTATAAATTATCGTTTTAATATATGTATATGGAAAATAAATAATTTTTGTTTGAAAAATGGTCTTTGATTTTTAAATAGGTATATAGTTAGATTTGGGCAACTAGATTTTTATTTTAAAAATAGATTAATAGAATAGATAAGACAGATTATACAAATCTGCAAAAAACTAAATACCTATATACAGTTAATAGACTTAATACGGTTTAACCAGTTACTACAAACGATGCACTTAATGGACTTAAGTTAATCGTAACAATATTGATATCATACATTCTACTATAATCCATGTGATAATAGTACCCGCTTTCGCCATTATGCCAGGTGCCATTTGACTTTACACTAATTAATTTATATAAGACTCGAATAGTGTAAATACTGTGAAGTCTCTAGGGTGCTTTATTAAGAATAAAAACAGTATTAAAACAACAAAACAACTTTATTTGTATAAGTATTATCAACTACAGTATAACAATGAAAACTAGGAACTACAGTTTGAATCATCACATATTCATATAACAATATTTGGTATTTAAAATACTCATTTATATTAATTTTATTACTTAAGTCATACTTAGCGCCGACTCTATACCCTTTAAAACTATTTTCTTTTTCTCTTTTTTCTTTCACTGGTTGGATGACAATTAGCGCTAATTACACTAGCAAATACTTGTTGTACTTTCTGTATACATAGGTGTTACTAAAAACTTCTTCATAAAAAATAATTCGTGAAATTGGAGTTTTAATTTTAAAAAATCAGATACAATCTATTAAGTCTGGGCCTCAGATTCTGTAACTGTTTCGTAACTGTCGTCGACTTTTTAAGTCTGTCGGTGTCCTCAAGAAGTTTTCTGTTTGCCGGGGTGACGACATGCACGCTGAAGCAACTAGGCTCCTTAATTTAAACATAAACATGACAGAAAGCGACGAATAATCACTGTAAATAAGTGTCCAATTTAACGAATTTAGTTTACATAAATGGGGTAATTATATACAATTATTATATACCTATATTTTTGTGCAATTAACATATTATACCCAGCTATACCCTCACTATAGAACTCACAAAATGAAAATCCAATGCTATCTATCAAAATGGCGCGTAAGAAACGATTTCGCTTCATCATAAGCGCCAAAAAACACAAAACCGCCAACCATGAACCCGGTGAAGCGCGGTGTTACACCCGCAAAGAGACCTCTAAACCCGTTCACAGAGTAAATCTCTGATAACACCGGCTTTATTCTTATTTTGCGGGTTTCAGAGTAATTTTCAGCTAACATTATGCGGGTTTTAGCTAGGTCCAGTGGAGTTGTCGCGGCCGCGGCAACGCCCCCGGCCACGGAACCGCATAGGGCACTCTGAAAATTATTGTAAAGTTAAAAACTACGATACCGCCTGGTTTCTATATTCAGTTCTGTCGTAATTACTACGAGTCGTACGGACTTGAACGTTGACTAAAGACACATAGAAAAACTATACCAATTACGGCTTAGTACGAATATAGAAGCTGGGCGTAAAACAATTTATGTTTTAATCAGTGTAACAAAATAAATTGTTATAAAAATACAATAAATTAAAAAGAACATGTGATTACAATCATTCGATATTTGACCTTGTTGTTCCACTATCATCTGTTCTCTCTTATATGCAAAGGAGGCGGTATCTATTTTTTTATCACGAACACATATTTTATTAACAATACTAGCAGACCGGCCAAGCGTTGCTGTGGCTGTGGGTTTTTGTTATATTACATAGTAGTAAACTACTCAAGGGAAACGGTAGGAGAACACCAGTCATGGGGACCACCATGCTTTTTTGGTGGTTATGCCATTAAATTGTAGCTTATGTGAAACGTTGGTACTTTCAACACAGCGCCATCTGGTAGAATTTTGCAATAAAATAATATTGCGGGTATAAATTGAGATGTAAGCTATCCTATCTTTTGCACGGTGTGCAAATTTGATTGATATCGGTTCGGTAGTTCAGGAGTCCATAGCGGACAAACAACGTGACACGTAATTTATATAATATATTAAGATTTGTGTATGAATTTACCTGAAAACTGCTAATCTGTCCATCATTATTTTCCTTCACCACAGACTTAAGAAACTCCCAAAGCGGCAACTGTATGAAACTGAAGGGCAAGTCCCTCAGTACAGTGGAAAAGAAGCCACGGTATAGACCATTACGAAAACCATCCGTTTGGAATGCCTAAATAGAAAAAAAGTATTGAAAACTGGCGTAAGAAAATTTTAATCCGTAGTTTTTGAATTTACCAAAAACAACTTTTCTATAGTATACATTAATAGTCCATACGCTTTCTAAAAAAAATGTATGCGTGTACTAGTGTACACACGTAAGAAATGAAACTTCTTTATGACCTTATTTTACGAAAAATTATCTACTATATGCAACTTTACAGAAATTGGTTAAATAAAGTTAACTTAGATAAAGTCTAAAAAAAGGTTTTTATTATCATAGACATAGATAGAATAGAATAAATAAATAGAATACAAATAATACAATTATTTCATTCTACCTTATTACTACTAAGATTATTACAGAATTTCATTAATAGTAATATAATTATTACTATCATTGTTATCGCTATTATATATTCTTGTTTTTAATATAAATTTTATACATTTTATGAACGTACTACACGGTTTTTGACATAAATAATAATGATTTAAAAGCATAATTTCTATTTATAACTAAATGTAATACTGCAATATTAATTAAATATTGCAGTATTACATTTAGTTATAGAAAAAAATTATCCAATATAAATAACAGTAAGTTGCGGTAAGCCTGAAGTTAGTTTTCAGAGGTAGGCAAACTTCACAAACTGGATCCGAAATCGCAGGACAAGAAAAAGATGGCCCGTAACGGAAAAATATGACGTCACGTGACGTAAATTTTTTTCCAACGCCGATAAAAAAGTTTCACTTCAAAAATCCCGGACACCATATGTCTGCTATTGACTTATTTTAATAGATATTTGTCTAAGACATATTTTCCTTTATAAATTTCCTATTACTAAATACATAAAAGAAACTGATATACTTTCCTTTTTAAAATCAGTTACAGAAATATTATAATTAAAACATTTGAGTTAATTAGCAAGGTCAGACGTACTTCTACCCTAATTACTAATTAGAAATGTAAATAAACTGTCCCTAACTGCTTTAAAATATTCAAAATGTAAATTTACCCGACATTTAGATTTTTAAATTTTAGATTTGAATAACTAACAATATAAATTTCCATTATGTATTTTAGGTAATTTGTCAAACATTATAAAATTTTTACAGACTCGACATCTATACACGATACTTACTCCACAGGACCTATATATATTGTATATCTATTCGTTTAAAAAAAATTGCCAACAGGGATTTCAATACCACCATTAACATGCGAACACAGCTTAATAACTATTACTAACATAATACATAAAAACTATGAAGATATGATTTAACAAAGCAAGAAATATAAATGATGTTCAATACAATGTTGAACATTGTTCGTGAAAATCTAAGCAAAGATACTACATAAAAATGTGCTTTGGTATGTTGTACTGAGTTATTTAAAATGTTAATCAATAAATCTTCTTTTATCAGTCTTGTCTTTAAACACTTAGTTGTGTATACTATTTGTTCAGTAAATAACTTTAAAACACAAAGGTGAAAGTACTTAAGAAAACTTTGGTTGTTACTTATCTCTATTAATTACTACATTACCTTTACAAGAATTCTAATACTGCTTATTTGTTCTTTTCCAACATAGGTCTGTTTTCTTTGTTTGGCTATATCTGTTGGTACACGAAGTACACATGCCAACTGTAAGTTTACATCTTTCATTAAAATTGAATAAACAAATAGAGATCTGATATTTGCCACCTCAATATTACAATAAGAAATACACGAGAAAATGTTATTTATAGTTTTTATTGTTGTGCTTCACTATATCAACCATATTCCATTTTGAAGAATGGGTGAGATTCTACTTAGTAGGACTAAGATCAACTTACCACTTCACCAACACTTGCTGCAAACATATGTACGAATGATATGTACTGTGGTGTAACCATTGGTGTCATTAGAGACTTAGTTGCTTCATAAGACACAAAGAATAAGGCTGATGTTGGTACTGATGCAGATGCTACTGTCAAAAGACCTGAAAGATTATTTAGGTTTTTGTTATGTGTGGTTTTTAGGTATGTTATATGGTTTCAAATATAATGTTAATAATTTCTGGAAAACACAAGGCTTGCATGCGTAAAAAGTTTTGGTCTACAAACATATCTCCCTCAACTATATAATTTAAATTTCATTTGTTTACCTCTATAGACACCTTTGAAACCACCAGCTTTATAAAAGCCTTGCTGGCTTTGTAATCTTGTTTTTAAAGTATCCAAAGGATATAATGCAACATCAACTGATACTCCTGCTATTGCACCTGCCTAAAACAAATTGCTCTTTAATCACAGCTCAAAGTTTCAGTTTTCTATTATTCTTCTAATTATTAGTATACTGATGTCCAGGATTATATTTTATTTATTCATCAATCTTTTCATCTGTCCGCAAATATATTTCAATAATTATTATTTGTTACTCCATTAACATGAAAGTTTACTTTATTTAAAATAATTTTTGTAACATATATTTATTTAAGTTTTTAATAACGTTAATTGCAATAGAAACAGAAAAAGCACCGACAAAAAATAATGTTGACTTAATATAGATATAAATAAGATACTTACGAATAAAGGGGCAACATAAGACGTTAAAGTAGATTTCACTGCTTCACTTCCTTCCATGGTATATTCTGGTTTTTTTTTAATTTATATTCGCCACCGCCGATAATTTAAATTACTTTAACCTAACCTACTAATCAGCTATAAAATTAAAATACATTTTTAAACAATTAAAATTCACTATCTAACTGCCGCACTCCTAATTATGCACATTATAAATAGTAAAACACTATATAAAATTAAAATCACGTTTAATATTACATATTATTGAATATTTTTATTCGACTATCATATATTTTATGGACATACAAGATGTTCAATGTTCATAAAATATATGACTAAAATCTAAAATCTAAATCAGTGTTCACAACCTGAAGCCGGGCAGTTATCGTACCAGGGCCGTAAAATTATCGTATTTGGATCGAAATTATCGTACCGTCAGGAAAATGGCTAAAAATACTTTAAAAAATCATATGAAACATGAAGATAAAATTATGCAAATGATTTATAGTTTAAATCTTGTAAACTTGTGTTTTTCAAATTGAAAAAAAATAATAATAATTCAATTTAAATGTTTGACGTATGGCACAAACCCGAGCTGGGCCCTCGTCCATTTCGAGTGTGATTAACGCGACATTTTGAATTTATAAAGAACAAAATAATGTTATAGGATAGAGACAAGCATATTTTTAAAAGTTCAACTGAATATATAAATGACATTTAACGTCTTATATACAACTTTTAATCTTTTCCGTCAATGAGGAACTAAAATACGCAATATTGTCTCTTTGAACGATATGGTGTTCGCTCTAAGTGATATACCTATTGTCCGTAAACATTGCATATTATTTTTACCACTTAAAATTCGTCAGGTATTAAAATGCTATCGAACACTTCCAATTAATGTGCGTCACCATACAAATCGTGGAAGCTGCGTCACCATACAGCTAAAAAAGCTGTGCATTCTGATGCATTTTTGTGTTTGTACATTAACGCATTGTTCATCCGCTGTAGTCGCCTTGTGACAGCATATTTTCCGAATAGAAAAATAAGCCAATAGATGGCACTGACACTAAAAACTGTAATTGTTATTGGGCTATCTGTGTAATCATCAAATTTTTTATCAGACTGGAAATTATCGTACAATCTGCGTACGATAGTCATTTACCATCGTACATCGTACGTAGTTATGAAATTATCGTACGGTTGTGAACCCTGATCTAAATCCAAAATGTAGGTGTCGTTCGCGATTGAACGGTTCAAAAGAACCAGATCTTCTACAGGGTTGCAAACTTCTACAAAATGTTCCCCCTAAATTCAAATACGCCTGAATGTCGATAAAAAAAACCCTAAAGGTTTTGTTGTACACTTGGTTTGAGGGGTAATTTCAAATATGAATTAAAAATACGTTGAAGTAGTAAAAAATAGCTGTTGTATTTATATGAGTACATTTTACATATTTATATATGTTCATCAATGACCGAATAGTATTAATGATAATAACAATGAGATGAAACGATTCTTATTTTTATTTTATTTGTTCTGTAGCCAGGCTTGGTTTATATTTGGTTTAGTTTGTTAATTGCGTTCGAAGCATAATATAAATTTTATAGAATCGTGTGCTTGTAGAGAAAAAAATCTTGAATAAAGTACCCCCTAAAAAACCCCCTGGACATCTTGATTACCCCTAAATATGGGGGGAGAACCCTCAAGTTGGCAACACTGATCTTCCAATCCTCACCAACGAATGTGTTACTTCGTTGAAAATGATTCGTTCGCTCAAAAAGGTCGCGGCGCGCCGTAGCGACGAGGGAATGTGAGCTATGAGAGAAAAGATAACGAAGTATCGAACGAACCAGTAACGAACAGACAAGCGCAAGCCGACGATTCGGTATTTCAAATTTACGACAGAGACAATCGAATATGATTCTTTGGAGCTAGAATCTATTTAATTGGAGCTACAATCTATTTTATTCTTTTAGTTTGCTTGTACTTCAGTTTAATAAGCTATTTATGCGATTAATAACGAAAGTTTAGCTTTTTTAAAGTAATAACAATATAAGTTTAGGGCTATTGATTTATTAAGTAAACTATTTGATTATTGATGTGAAACATCTATAGCCGCACGTAAAACACCCACGATTTCATGCGTGGCGACGCATGCCGTGGCGACGCGTCGCCATATGATGGTATATATATATATTATAGTCTATATGCAGTAGTGTGTACGGTGTGTGTATTTCGAAGTCACTGATTAAACGAATTAAGTAGTCACGATTTGAAATAAATTCGTAAATTTTAATGAAAATAAATGTTTATTCAATAAATTTATTAATTTATTTTATCATTATGACATATTTAGTTCATCACAATCTGTTCTTTTCTGCATATTACTTTTACAAAATGTCGATGTTTCACATCTGCCAGGCGTCCCGAGACGGCTCACATTTTTTTATATTTGCTTTCTTCGCGATCCTTTTCCTTAATGGGAAAGGCAAAGGACTTTAGTCCATACAGCCAGGTCTAATTTCTGTTGCTTCTCGAATCTATTTATTGAATCGGATCAGTATTGATTCAGATCTTACAGAACGAGCGAACGATACATGCATCAACTAAATCCTTTGTGATAAATATTTTAACATTAATGTCAAGTTTGAAGTTATGAAATTTAAACCACAGTGTAATACAATCAATCTTACCCACAGAGTAAGTTATGGAAAAAACTAGATAGCAACCACTACCTAGTAAAAGTATTCTCCGGTAGGCGCAAGCCGGCACAAGCTACCGTAATACAATATTTGTATGTAATGAATTAATTATTTATATATTCATCATTCATCCAATAGCGGCATTACCATTTCCAAAAATAAGTCGGCACTTTTATATATATACTAGTGGACCCCACTGACGTTGTCCTGCATGATATAGCGATTAGGATATTAAGCAAAGTATGAAAGTACCGACTGCAGTGCCATCTGCCGGGCTGATTTGTGAATCTAAACCATTCCCAGATCCCCTTGAACACACACAAAAAATTTCATCAAAATCGGTCCAGTCGTTTGAGAAAAGTTCAGTGACATACACACTCACAGAAGAATTTTATAAATATAAAGATCTAAATCTATTAAAGCATGTTAACTAGTATCAATGAAACCAGCTCTAACTGAAAGGTTTTAGGTGCCATACTGCACAAATTACAGCAGGTATAGTACCTACCAATAATTATATAGTTTGAAACAGAAAAAGTTTGCCGAAACTATGTTTTCACAAAGTAAATTTGTGTGGAAATGATCACATCTAGGACAGCCATTCCTGTCACAGGTAACGCTAGCCACTAAACTACTGTTATAGCCCAGCCATAAACTCTTCCTCAGACTGTTTCAATAGTAAAAACATTTTTAATAATAATTAACGAACGTATTGATATCGTCAACTGTAATTATAGACTATGTGCAGATAGGCATGGTTACGTGATACTATCTATAAAATAAGGTATTTCCGTTACCCGGCAACGGTTATTTGTTATAGTAGAGCATTTGTGATAAAGGTTATTTAATTTGTTATTTTCAAAATGCCAAAAATTCCACCCACAAAAAATCCTCACGAGGGAATCAAATATCATTCTATTAAAAAGGGGTCTGAACGCGGTTGTTATCAGCTACACAGGTCGGTATAAAAATATTTAAACCTACTGCAGATCACCCCCTACGCCTACTGCCTCAACTATGCTTCTGCATTATATTGTACCTGCATGCGGATTGCGGAGGATTTAGTTAATAAATATATAATATATTTTAAATATAATTGATGTTTTAAAGGCCGATATTAATCAAATTAATTAATAAATTAGGGAGCGTTCAAGTATTAGGTAACGAATTTTGGGGGGGGAGGGCTCCTTTTGTAAAACGTTACGATGCGGGGCGGGGATTGAATTACGCGTTATTTTTAATATTATTTTGGACTTTCCAGTACTTTACACCACATAATGGTAATTTTTAGGTATAAAGAGTCACAAGGTGGTCACGAAACGTTTTACTATACTTGGGTACAGGAAAACGTTACGGCGCGTTACATGGGGGGGGGGGGCTGGTGTTGCGTGACGTAATACTTGAACGCTCCCTTACCAACTCTGGCTGTATTTTTCTTAAATAAATTATTGCAAATGTGCCTTCGAACCAAAACTCCTTATTATTCATTCTGATTTGCGCTAGTATCATCTGTACGGTTTTATTTTATAATGCATATGCGTTAAAAAAAATCATTTTTCAGGCCATCGGAATGCCGACTGAAATTCCCGATAACCGACCGACCCATACACAAATGCGAGCTGCCAAAACACGAGTACACATTAGTACCGCAGCTTGGCGGTTGGCGGAATTTGTTGGTGCCAAAGAATGAGCCCAACTTCTACCCAGCTGTTATGAGTAAGAATGAGTATGAACGGCTGAAAAAGCTAGCTAAGGTATTTACGAATTCTTTATTAGTTTTCTTTGTGTGTGTTTTTTTAACTGTGTGACAAAAATTTAAATTAGAGCTTTTGCATTTCATACAAGCATTATTCCAGGCTTCTCTCAGATGGGCAATATCAAGAATCACATCAAGTTTTTTTTTTCTAATCTAGTTCTTACATCACTATCGATATCGATATAGCTAGTCTTCTTGTATATATTCTCCTCTGTTATACGATCTTTTCTGATAGATCGTAACTCAAGAAGAACAGCTAGAAGCGATGCACGCGCAAGAGGCTGCGGTTCAAAAAGCTGCCCACGAGTCTGAGGATCGTAAAAGACTGCTCAAAGAACAGTTACAGCCTCAGCCTGGAGCTGAAGCCTCGTCTGGCAGCGCTGAAGCTGCTGAATTGGAGGGACCTGATCAGACTGCTCATACCCTGTCTAGAGCGGAATGTGAGTTAAAAACAGAATTTATATTAAATAAAATTGATGAGGGACTAAAAAAATAGACGTTATTAGTTTGACCTGTATGTGATATTATTGAAATTTACATCAGTCACAAGTTACACCAAAATTGGTACAGTAGGTTTTAATACATGGGCAGTGATGTAT